TATTTCAATGTTATATGGAGAAAACCAAAGCCACTGGCTGTCAATGTCTGGGGTACACCTGGGAGAGTTTAAAGCTTCCGAGGCTAGGCCCTGCCCCCAAAGTGTGGCTTGGTCAGTGGGGGGCACAGTTAGAATGTGGAGCATTTGAAACCCTGGGGCATTCCAGCACTGGAAAGTGAGAGCCACTCGCTATCATGAGACCTGTGTGACCTGCTTCAGGAACTGAGAGAGATCTGGGGAGAGCCACGCCTGCAGGAGATGTGGGCTCTGGTCTGGGCAGCAGCACTGTCTCATTTCTGGCCAGCAAGAGGGCTGCTAACCATGTCTTTGGACATTAATATTCCCACTTGGAAGATTCACTGCACTCCCCGCAGGACAGTCTCACATTGTGCTGCATTAATATGATAAGAAAGAACGGAAAAAGCCGGGCGTTGGTGGCGCACGCCTTTAATCCCAGCACTTGGGAGGCAGAGACAGGCGGATCACTGTGAGTTCGAGACCAGCCTGGTCTACCGAGTGAGTTCCAGGACAGGCTCCAAAACAATACAGAGAAACCCTGTCTCGAAAAAACCAAAAAAAAAAAAAAAATGGAAAAATAGCCAGTTTACTACACGAATGCAGAGTTAGAGGATCGCCATTTCCTTTTGCAGCATGAAGAGAACAGCAACAAGTAACCCTTTGAGTGTGTACAGCATGCCAAGTCCTGTGCTGAGCACATGTTCTCCTCCGTGGGGGCACTACATATCTCCCTGTTTTATGGTGGATAACGCCAACAAGGTTTATAGAGAGGTAATGAGGTCCGTAAGTGTGGATATCAATCTTCATTAGGAACAAGGAAACCAGTAAGAATAAGAGGACAGTGAAAATAAAGTAGCAATAAATGTAGTAAAAGAGATAGAAAGAATAACCCGCTAGGGAGATCCCATGCAAATGTGAACTGGGAGACACTTATTCCAGAACACACAGACACAGACACAGACACAGACACAGACACACACAGACACACACACACACAGACACACACACACACACACACACAGACACACACACACACACACACACGAGCTTAACACTGAATGCTGTTCCAGAAGACCAGCAAATAAAGTCTCAGGATCTGGGGCTGGGGAGGCGGCTCAGGGGCTTTGAGTGAGTCTGGCTCTCACAGCTTCACTCATCCAAACTAGATAGCCCACAACCTCCTGTAACTTCAGCTCCAAAAGAACCCAACATTTCTGTCCTCTGTGGGCATGCACACACACACAGACACACTACACATAAACACAGAGACACACCACACAGACACACACCCACACCCACAGTTAAACATAAATCTAAAAGAAGGCTCAGCAAACGTATTCAAGGTTGATGAAAATAAGAGTATGATGCGGCCCTGTGAGGAGGCTTCAGGCTCCATTTCCAGGAGAGAGACATCCATAGGACTAAAGCAGGCTGTCTTGGTCAGGATTGCTGTTGCTGTGGTAAAACACCACGACCAAAAGCAAGTTGGGGACATCACAAGGGCTTATTTGGCTTATTCTTCTACATCATAGTCTGCCAGGGAAGGAAGTCAAGACAGGAAGTCAGGGCAGACACATGGAGGCAGGAGCTGATGCAGAGGCCATGGAGGGTGCTGCTGACTGGCTTGTTTGCTCAGCCGCTTTCTTATAGAACCCAGGACCACCATCCCTCATCAATCACTAATTAAGAAAATGCTCAACAGGCTGTCTGCTTACAGCCCAGGCTTATGAAGGAATTTTCTCAGTTGAGGTTTTCTCCTCTCTTTTGACTATAGGTTGTGTCAAACTGATGAACAACTAGAACTGACCCCTTGTCAGCTTGACACAAACATATCACCGTTAAACTATAACCTTTCCTTCTTGTTCATTCCCCAAATTACACATTAATGTTAGCATTACAATATAAACATTCCAAAGTTTAAAAGTTCTGCGCTCTTTAAAAATTAAAACACTTAAAAATTCAGGCTCTTAAAAAAACCCAAAGTCTCTTTTAAAATCCAAAGTCTACAACTGTGGGAGTCTATAAAATAAAAAGTAAATTAAATACTTTCTTCCTTCAAGAGGAAAGAACCAGGGCACGGTCACGATCTGAACAAACTCCAGCTGTGTAAATAACCTGGTGTCCAGTGTCTGGGATGCACTCACCATCTTCAGGACTCCCCAAAGGGTCTGGGTCACTTCTCTGGCTCTGCCCTCTGCAGCACACCAGACTGTCATCTCCTAAGCTCAGGCTGGCTCCACTCAATTATTGCTACTCTTTTTGGCAGCTGTCCTATGTACTGGCATCTCCAAAATGCTGGGATCTCTTGCTGCAACTGGACTGCACTTACATCAATAGCCTCTCTTGGGCTCTCTCCAGGGACTCCAGCCCTGCCACACAATGCCAAGCCTCACCTTCTCTCCACGAACCCTTCATGATCTCAAAATGAGTACCACCTGGGCGACTCTTACACATGACCAAGCGTGGCTGTCAGCACGAGGTATAAGCTTGGCTGTCTCTGGAATACAACTTTTGTGTTCTGACTCTGAGGAAACACTCCCAAGATTTCACCTCAATGATGTCTCTTAATCACTTCTAATTTTTCATCCCCAGCTAACCAGCATCAATTGTCCTAGTAAAGCAAAGGTTTTGCTTCCATGGTGCTGGTTTTTGGTTCATTACAGATGACTCTTCAGTCCTAGCTGACCAGAATCACAGATTATTATTTCAAAATATTCAGTGGCCCCAACTGAGTCTTTAAGTGACTTTCAAACTGCACTTTGGAACTTCACGCCTTCAGCCTCTGCATTTCTCTCAATATTCTTACCTTCCAAGCTCTAGTAGAACAGCTCACCAAGCTTTGAATATTCAATGGCTTTTCCTCCCAAGTTCCAAAGTTCTTCCACAACCCTTCCCAAAACAACATGGAAAATGCACATCCCATTTAGATATTGTCAAAGCAATAAAAAGATCACAAATCAGCAAGAGAAATCCGAGACCTTTAGGGAGGAACTAAAAAATGACCAGCCTGGTCTACAGAGTGAGTTCCAGGACAGCCTCCAAAGCCACAGACTAACCCTGTCTCAAAAAAACAAAAAAACAAAACAACAACAACAACAAAAAAAAACACTGTAGGTAAAGATGCATGAATAGGCTGATCTGAGAACTCCAGACGGATGCAAAGGGTATGCGGTCAGTGCGGCCACTGAAGGAGGCGACAGATGTGTGAACACAGCTAAGCGTTTATTTGACATGATGAATCTGCACAGGCTAGAATGTGTATAATTAGCTTTGGAAAAAACAAAGGAGCGCAAAGCTTGTATTATTCGATTGCAAGGGTTAAACGAGGCACCTGCATTCAAACAAGGCTTTGCCAGGAAGGGCTGGTCCCCGAATACCAGCCAGTACTCAGAAACCCCAAACACATACCGGTATCTATATGAAAATGCCAGCCGTGACATTTTAACCTAGAGGAGGGAGGGAGCTCCATTTTCATTAGTTTAGTTTAGTTTGTATTTGAGCCAGGGTCTTGCTAGGTTACCCAGACTTGCCTCAAACTGAAGATGTTCCCACCCAGTTGGGGACTGCAAACAAACTCACCACAACCCAGCAGCCTTCTCCTGGAAACTCTGCTGAGTTAACTGGCTATCCACCTAAAGATGAGAGCTGACCACCCTCCCCTCACCTAACACACACAGATGAATAGCAGAGAAACCAAAATGTGCAATGTAAGAACTAATGGATAAAAATACTGTAAGAGTCTCCAGCCAAGAATTTACATAAAACCTGCTGGAAATTCCCCTCTGTGCACCGCAGACCCCGCAGAACCAATGAAGGAGGATGGAAACTTCTGGGGCAATGTGTTCTCACATCTGTGTCAGTGCAAGCGAAACGGGAAAAGAAAACAATGGATTGGGGAAAGACTGGCACTCATGGGGCTCACAAAGGCGCGAAATCGCTAATACGTGAGAGATTTCCAATGTGAAAACGAAAAGCTAACGAATGCTTCAGAAAAGCAATCAGTAAACAGCAGCAGGCAGCTCGTGTGACGAGGACGTAAATAGCTTATGAAGACGTGAGAAAATTTATAGTATTATTAATAAAACCTGGAAATGAAAACCCTTGATAGCTGTGTTCCTTGGACTGGCCAGGGAAAATGAGGAGGTCTTGGGCGGGATATCCAGTGCTGGACAAGAGGCTCACACGCCGTGGGCAGCGGTGACCGCAGAGTAACACACTTCAGGCGCTGGTACCTCCGTAAGCTAGCACTCCCTAGCAAGCGAAGCCGTATAGGAAGAGGTAACCCCAGAACCCAGAGTGAACCCAAGAGCATATCCACCAGAGAAGGGCTGAGGCACCTTGCCCTGAAGCGCACATTTTGGCATGACTTAAGGAGATGTTGACTGATGTTTTAAGAAAACCAACTTGCTGGTAATGTAAATGGTGTAATTTCTTTTTCTTGTTTGCTGTTTTCAGTCATGGTCCCATGAACCCCAGGCTGACCTTGGACTCCAGATCTTTTCTTCCTCTGCTCCCTACTTGTTGGGATCACAACCCTTCATGTCACTGTACCCAGTCCCCTGTGTCACCACGCCCATCCCCTGTGTCACCAGGCCCAGCCCCTGTGTCACCACGCCCAGCTCCTGTGTCACCACGCCCAGCTCCTGGTCTTGGCTCACAATGGCCTCACAGCTTTTCTTATGGAAGTGTATAAAGGGATCCTTCCTTGGTTGCTAGGTTACGTACTACAGGAGGAGCAGACTCATAGATTTCATTATAGTACCCCAGGGTTTACACTTGGTACAAGAACATCCTAGTTGTGTAGTTTAAGATCTTACTGAGTTTAAGGGAAAATTTAAAAAAATGACCTTCTTAACCAGTTTAGAAACATGGCAAGAAACAAAACAAAACAAACAAACAAACAAAAACAACAAAACAAAAAACAAAAAAGCCCTGCCCCAAGGCTGTGTGTCCCAGACGCTGCCTGCAGGCATGTCACTCACCGTTTTCCCAGGAGAGCTGCTGGGCAGGGCACTGGCTTCAATGAAATACTTCCTGAGCAGACGCTTGCTGGGGTCAGGACTGTCCAGGAGGATGTAGGAGCAGAAATAGGCTCCGTGCCGAAGCAGGAAGATGGCAATGTCTTCATTCCCTGATGGGAAAAAGCACAGAGAAAGCTCAGGGTGTCCGGATGTCCCAGTGGTCATCTCTGCTTGCAGGGCCTTGGCGCTGGGAGAGCAGGCTCTCGGCTACCCCCAGATGCACCACGTTCCCGGAAGAGAGAGTTTGTGGGACTTCGCTCTTCGAGGGCGGCGCACGAGGCCGCGCACGAGGCCGCTCTCGTCACAGGGGGTCCCTGCCACCCAGTGGCGTATCTACAACAATTTGGAAAAAATCCTGAGAACGGGGCTAGGGGCTGGCAAAGTCAGTGAAGTGCTGGCTGAGGGTTCATCTCCAGAACCCGCGTGAAAAAGTTACTGAGCATGACGGAGTAGGATCGCAACCCCAGAAACGGAGGGGGGGTGTGAAACCCTGGGGCTGGATAGCCAGCCAGCTGAGGCGAATAGGGACATTGTCGGCAAAGGTGCGATACCTCACCCTCTGTCCCACAGAATGACAGCTGAGGCTGTCTTCTGGCCCTCCGCACACACGTGCGCACACACAGCTGCACACGTGTGTAACACACAGCTGCACACATGTGTAACACACACACACACACACACACGTGCGCACGCGCGGAAGGACGGGCAGAAGTCCCCCGCCCCGCAGGCCACTGGAGTCAGAGTGCCAGCCTGGGAAGCGGGAACTTTGCAGGGCAGGGCTGCGTGCGTGCGACCCACCTGACTTGATGGCGGCATAGAGGGGCAAGCGCACAATGACTGGGAACTCATTCTTCCGGACCGCGTAGTTCTCCGGGTCAGCCCCGTGCGTCAGGACCAGCAGCTTCACGACCTCCAAGTGCCCTCGCTGGCAAGCCAGGGCCAGCGTCCAGTTCAGCAGCCGCTGGGGGCTACAGGGACCTGGAGTGCGAGAGGGCAGAGGGAAAGTGCGCTGGGTGGATGGCACGGGCTCTTCCCATACGCACCTTCCCATCGGCGGTGAATAAAACGCGGCCTTTCCGGTTCTGACCGCAGCTATGCTTCCCCAAGTGGACGGTGTTCCTACCCCCGGGAGTCGCACCCAGCACTTCTCCACATTAGCACAGACTGCCTGTAGGCATGAAAGGTCCGGGTGCAGTGTCATCCTGACCGATTAAAGATGCCCACGTGGTGAAGGCCAGAAAGAACTCTGTCGTTTCTCTAGACGCCTTCCCCTCGCCTCTGGTGTTAGCCCCAGAGTCACATTACACACAAGGGTAGGGCAGCAGACACATTACACGAGAGTAGGACTTCAGAAACAGCCTTAGCTATGGCACTCTGTACAAGCTGCTTGTCCTTCGAAGGCCTCAGTTTACCCATCAGTAAAACGGGCATAACGCTCTTCCCACTGAGTTTAATGTGAGTTTAATTTCACATGTTGTCAGGTAGCGTGAAGCAAGTGCCTGAACCAGTAACTCTTCATTCGTTACGAGATATCCTCACACTGCTAGGGTGTTTACACCATTCTGTGCCTCCAAATTACCTGTAACATACATATACATTACTTTCATAAACAATGCTTTGAAAGAAATCTTTGACAAAGGATCTAACTGCTGCCTACAGGGTCGAGAATGACCCCTGAAAGAGCTACCCACCCAATTTCAGGACAAAGTGACACTGAATACAATTGAATGCCACAGGGACAGAGTGGCCTGGACATTCCAGTATCTTCAAGTTCAAACTGGTGTAAAATCTTTGGGATGCAGTTGCCATGGAAATGACCTCATCTTCTGTCATGTCCCCGAGGCATTACCTCATTGTCTCGTTTCCAGAGGTACAGAGTGCTTAAAGACTATCACCTGTTCTAAGAGGGTGACCTCTTTTGGGGCAGGAGGAGGGACTGACAGGAAGTGGAGACAAGGTCAGCTTGGGGGGAGGCTAGGATTCACCAGGGAAGGCGCCTGACACAGGGCCTTGTTGGGCGACTGTCTGTCTCCCTCTATGTCCAGCCAGAACAGAGAACCGTGGTCCCTAGTCCACCTATAACAAGCACACCATGGTAAAAAGATGCAGAACCACACTGCTGACTCCTGTGGAGACGCATCCGGGTAAGGAGGCAGGGCCACCGTTTTAAGACCAGCCCAGAGGTCAGAGAGGCTGGAAATGCTGAGGCGCCACAGGGGCTGTGTAGCAAAGTGAAGGCTTGAATCCTAGTCTGGGGGCTGGAGAGAAGGCTCGGTGGTTAAGAACCACGCCTGCTCTTGCAGAGGACCTGGGGCTGGTTTCCCGGTTGTAAAATGGCAGCTTACAAATATGTGTAACTCCCGTTCCAGGGCATCCACACTCTCTTCTGGCCTCCATGGGCACCCGGCACGCATATGGTGGTTTATATACACACAGGCAAAACACTCACATGTTTAGAAGAAAGATCCCGGTTTGTCTGAAACCGGAATGCTCTCTCACACTCTCCAAGAGGCCCTGACCGTGTGACTTCAAAGGACGCCTCCCAACTCCTCTTCCATGGCCTTCTCTGGTGCCTGGTGTACCCTAACCATGCTGCCTGCCTGTCATCTGGGAGTTACCAGAGGGCGGGCGCTGTTTTGCCCTCCTATGCCTCTCCTGTGGAACCAGAATGTTGCTCTCAAGCCCTTCAATTCTCAGCATTTACCCGGAGATGAAGCCAACGCAGGAAGAAGCTCCAGGAATAACAGCATGCGAGAGGCCCAGGCCTTTGGCTTGCAGTGGCGGGGCACCCAGGAAACCCAGGCCTTTGGCTTGCAGTGGCGGGGCACCCAGGAAACCCAGGCCTTTGGCTTGCAGTGGCAGGGCACCCAGGAAACCCAGGCCTTGCATTGTTTGCTGAGCTCACTCCACGCCCTTCTAGGCCTCTGTGTCTCAGCATAACTGCAGTGCACAGATTTACTCCTTTTTGACTCAGTTTCCCCCATCTGCCCAGAAGCTGCTATTAAAGGGCTGAGAGCACCTTTCTAAACCTTTCCCACGCCTCTCAGGTTCTGAAGGTGCTCAGTACTTGGAAAATATTTAATAAACATCAGTTGGACACGCAGGCCCTCCGGTTGTAGGAACGAGAATGACTCCCATAGACTTGTGTGTGTGAATGCTTAGTCCTCAGGGCGTGGAACTGTTTAGGGAGGATGAGGAGGCGTGGCCTTGTTGGAGGAGGTGTGTCACGGGGGGTGGGCTTTGAGGTTTCTAAAGCCCAAGCTGTTCCCAGGGTGCTCTCTGCTTCCTGCTTGTGGATAAAGATGGGGGCTGCCAGCTATTCCTGCTGCCTATCTCTGTGCCCCTGCTCTGCCATCGTAACTCTTTATGACCAGCCAAAGACGTTCTTTTGTAGTTGTCCTGGTAACAGTGCTTTATCACAGTAATAGAAAAGTAACTAAGGCAGGTGCTGAGTCAGCTCGTGACAGACCCTTTTGGACTCAACGCCAATCGTGAGAGCCCTGAAGAGAGCCATTCTTTAGCTCCCTCTTGCCTTCCTATGTCTCCTCTCATCCAGCCTGCTTCTTCTTCTTCTTCTTTTTTGTTTTTTGTTTTTATTTTTTTTCGAGACAGGGTTTCTCTGTGGCTTTGGAGGCTGGTCTGGAACTCACAGAGATCTGCCTGCCTCTGCCTCCTGAGTGCAGGAATTGAAGGTGGGCGCCGCCACCACCCGGCCCTAGCCTGCTTCTTGAGACTCTGCTGATTCCTAGCCAGAAATCCCTTCCCTCTCCAGGCACACAAGTGGAACACTGGCTGGGAGGAGCCACTGAGCATAGGTCTATCTCAATGCACACAGACACACCCACACCGGGCCACCACGTGATGTGTGACCCCACTGGAAAACAGAAACAATAGGGTCTTTGGTTTTTAAAATTATGGGAAAAAATTCAAGGTATCAATTACAGACTATTAAACTATGTGAGGGTTATTATACAGCACATAGCCTTGGCATCAAAGGTCTAACACCTAAAGATCTTTCCTAGAGTCTGCCTCAACCTGTTGGTGCAATGATGTTTTGGCATTCATCCCTCATTGCTGAGCCAAGACTACAAGGAAGTTATAGGAGACTAGAACACCTTGAGTTCACCAGCAGCAAATTACAAATGCACCAGTCATATCATGGCATAACCGTGCAATAGAGTATTGTTTATCTCTAAAAAGAGTAAGTTACCGAGGGATTAAAAATCACTGCACAATGTTCGCTGCATATTGCTAGATGAGAGAAACCGATCTGAAAAGGTTACCTAAGGCTGTGGTTCCAACTGTGTTCCAGAAAAGGCAAAGCTAGAAATGGCAGTGGAAAAAGCTCACACACAGCGCTTTACCTGATAAGGACTCTAGCAACTCATGCACTACGTCGGTGTGTCCAAAATGCGCTGCCACCACAGCTGGGTGGTCATCGGTGGGCTCCGTCGGCAGCTCCACGTGCTTCTCAGTGAGCAGGAATCGGACGGTCTCCAGGTCTCCATGGGCTGCCGAAATGCTCAGCAGCTGACCCTGGTCAGAACAGGACAGGGTTCAGCGAGGCCAGCTCCATCACTTCAAATGTTTCCCCCGAGCCTCTGTCAAGACTGCAGCTCGGCTGCCCAGGATGGCAAGCCCCGCCCCGTGTGCTGCATCATGCTTGGACAGTGACTGCAGCAGAGTGGACTGCCGCACTCAACTTCACAAACTTAGAACACAAGCAGAAACCAGCTCACCAAGAGTTCTGTATTATTCCATGTGGAAACGATGGTTTTAGCATACATAGAGATGCTTACCTACTTATACTCGGTGCAAACCCATAGGTTTGAAAGTACCACGTGCAATGCACTGAGCCTACCTAATCCAGGACTCCACAGTTTAGAAACACTGCACCTGGAGTTGTGGTTGGCATGGTTGCTCCGTGCCACAGAGAGGAGTGCACATACCCCTGTCCCATGGAAAAGTCAAAATCCAGTGTGACTGTTCCTGAATGCATGTTATTTCCCTACCATTAGAACCACCATCCTGCTAAGAAATATTTCTTTTAGAAAACCTGCCTCTAACTATTCGAATTCGACTTTTACAGTATAGCATTCTCTCGACCACCTGCTTCATGAAGACGGACACCATATGAGCCCAGAGCCAGTGTTCAACTGCCGTATGACAGCCTGTGCACCTCAGGGAGGGGGAGACAGCAAGCTCCCGAGGACCACCTGTGGTGGCTTGAGTGAGAATTGCCCTCCTAGACTCATAGATTTGGATGCTTGGTTATTAGAGAATGGAACTACTTGATAGGGACTAGGAGGTGTGGCCTTGTTGGAGTAGGTGTGGCCTTGTCTGAGAAAGTGTGTCACTGGGGGTTTCAAGAATCCAAGTCAGGCCTGGCTGTAGTGGCGCACGCCTTTAATCCCAGTACTTGGGAGGCAGAGGCAGGCGGATCTCTGTGAGTTCGAGGCCAGCTTGGTCTACAAGAGCTAGTTACCAGGACAGCCTCCAAAGCCACAGAGAAACCCTGTCTCAAAAAACTAAAAAGAAAAAGAAAATCCCAGTGTCTGTACTCTCTTCCTGCTGCCCACAGATCTGGGTACACAAGTCTCAGCTACCTCTCCATCACCATGTCTGTCTGCATGCTGACATTTTCCCCACATGATGAAAATGACCTAAACCTCTGAAACTGTGAGCAAGCTCCAAATAGATGCTTCGTCACAGCAATAAAACCCCTAACCAAGACTCCACCCTACAAGTTATTGATCAAGGGAATGTGAATGATGGGGATGGGGCTCCACACACCAGAATCCAGGGACTCGGAAACAGCAGCAGGATTCTTGGTTTGAGTTCAAAGAAAGAAAATAATAAGGCAGTCACTGGCCCCTGCCTGAGTCCCAGCTTCATCCCAGCCACCCTGGCATCTAAAGCAGAATCGTAACTTGCAGACCTGGGTCCACACAAAGGGCGGTCATGAATGTGGGAACACATTACTGAAATTTGGGTCCCTCCTACCACATGACTGCTTCCCGTGATCCTGAGCACTAGCCTGTTGAACGCAAGCAGGAACGAGTCAGTCTGCACTTGTCTGTCTGTATGGAAGTCCTGTATGTGTAAGGGGGGGTGACCACAGAGGATACTGTAGGGGACTGCTGGCCTTCGAGAACTGACAGGCAAGCTCACAGTGGGGAGGTGTGTAAAACAACCACCCAAACATCTCCAGAAGGTATGGCAGAGCAAGGTGGGCAGGAAGGGATGGGTAAGTGGCGCTCTGGAGAAAGAAACGGATGCTCACAAGCTCTGTGGGAGCGTGGACACTGTACTGAGTGCTTCGTTCTCATAGCTACATGCAGCCCTCAGTACGGCTATGCAAGCCATCTGTCTGCATTCCCATGACAGGAGAGTGAACATGTAACCCTCAGGTAGGGGCTGCGTGATCAACAGAGCTACCCTGGATCTTAACTGCAGCCTGTGTGGCACGGAAACCCACGTTCTCTTCATTTCATCCAAGACCCCCTGGGCAGTGTGGGACTCTTGGGGGAACGGGTGAGTTCTGTAAGTGGTGTGACCAGACTAGAGGTGGTATGTCCGAAAAACAAATGAGGGGACCGGACTTACTTGCTTAAATACAACTAGAAAACAAAAATCCACTACTCCTCTGGGCACGTGGGAGCCGGAAGCCCAGCCATTCCTGGAAAGCACTCGCATTCTGGAGAAAGCCACAAGTGATTGATTAACTGACCATCAGGACTAAGAGCTGTCTAGACTCCTGTCCATCCAGGCTTAAAAGCCCCATTCTCACAAGGTGATGGGTGAGGTCACAGTCGGCCACAGACAAGAGGAAACCAGAAGGCAGGGAAGGAAGGAGCTGCCTCTCTGGCCAGAGACAGCCTGGTGGCTCTGAAGTCTTTAATTCCATATAAAATAAAAGGCCAGCTTCCTTCTACGCCCTCATCTCCCTGTATAAAGGTCAGTGCCCACGTGGCCTTCTAGGGCATGTCTACCCATCCACACACGCTCATAAGGAGGCCTCACATAACCATAAGTGCTTTTCAACTAATTATTTGTATTTTGGCACCCAAGTGTGTTTGGAGGATTGTGCTCCTGCACGGTGGAGGCTGGAGACTGGCTTGTATCTTCCGTTACTGCTCTCCAAGTTACCTTTTGAGACAAGGTCTCTCACTGAACACAGAGCTCCCGTTTCTGCCGGGCTGGCGGCCAGTTAAGTCCCCAGGATCCACCCGTCTCCTTCCCTCCCCTCCGCCCCTACCATGTACTGCAGTTTCAGGCCTATGTCCCCAAATTTCACTTTTACACGGGTGTTAGGGATCAAACTCAGGCATTCATGCTTACACTGTAAGCACTTTACGCGCTGAGCCTTCTCTCTGGCCTTCTTTACATATTTTTACAAGGTGTGATATGCCTACAGGGAAAAACAATCACTCAGTTTCCTGAACTGCCACGACTCCCATGTGCATGGGCCTCCAGGCAGGGGAACAGAGCTTAGCTCAGAAAGCCCCTTGCTGTGGTTTGTCTAGAGAATGTCCCCAAGGGTCCTGTGCTGAGGACAGGCTGGGTCCCCAGCTGGGGTGGTGACTAGCTCTGAGGGCTCTGACTTCCTCAACAGAGTAATATCCTGTTCAGTTCATAGTGGAATTAACTATGGTGGTCTCCACTTGGAGAGAAGAGGCCACCGGAAGACATGCCCACGACCGATGGATCTTGTCACTGCCACTGCGCCCTTTCCTCCTTTCTCCTTAGATGCCGCCCCAGGGTGAGCAATGTTGTGTCCCTGTGCCTTCTCTGCCATGTGTGCTGCCTATCACCCACCTAAAAGCAACAGAGCCGGCTGGTAATGGGCTGAAGCCCACAAAAACACAAATCAAAAAGTAAGCAGACAAAAAAAAAAACCCTTTCCCCTTCTTAAGCTGTCTTTCTAGGGTATTTTGTCATCACATGAGAAGCTAAGGAGCTTCTATTGTGTCAGTCATCCCGCGCCCCCCCCCCCATCTCTGCCCTGCCAGGAAGACTCAATACCCTGACTGCAAACACGCAAACATCATGGATTGATTTACTTTTGCCAGTTTGCAAACATTATAAAGTGGCATTGGATTGTTCTCATTTTTAAAAACTTTTTTTTTGTTGTTTTGCTGTGAAATAATTTGAGACTACAGAAGTCTCAATATGAGCAGACAGGACTCACTCAGTACCCTTCACCCAGTTTATGCTGGCGGAGACATCTTTCATAACTGTCCACAGTTTCAAAACTGGTGATGTGATGTCGGGTGGACTCATGCTACACAGACTTTCCTTTGCCAAGAAATCTGGCCCCTGCCACCTCCCGGAGGGTCAGCCACCCTGCCACCCCAACTCTGCCAGGCACTAATCTCTTACACTTCTGTCATTCTGTGGATCAATATCCACCCGTCCATAGTGGAACAGACTGTAGCAGGTGTACCCAGCTGGAGGAAGGAGGTCACTGGGGGAAATGTCCCTGACTGGTGTGTCCTGTCACTGCTCCACTATGCTCCTCCCCTCCTCTCCTTTCCTCCCTTCTTCCTGTCTGCCATGAGGTAAACAGCTTTGCTGCCCCATGCCTTCTTTGCCAGGATGCTCTACCTGATCATACCAAGAAGCAAGAAGGGAGAAAGCCAGCCTGGTGTGTGTGTGTGTGTGTGTGTGTGCGCACGCGTGCCTGTGTGTGTGTGCGTGCATGCGTGCCTGTGTGTGTGCACAGGCGTGCGTGCCTGTGTTGTGTGTGCGTGCACGTGCATGCGTGTGTGTGTGTGTGCGCGCATGCGTGCCTGTGTGTGTGCACAGGCGTGTGTGCCTGTGTTGTGTGTGTGTGTGCGCGCACATGCACGCGTGTGTGTGTGTGTGCACAGGCGTGCGTGCCTGTGTTGTGTGTGTGTGCGCACGTGCATGCGTGTGTGTGTGTGTGTGCGTGTGTGTGTGCGTGTGTGTGTGTTCCACTGAGTAGAGTAGGGCTTCTTGCCTGAGCATGGAATGCTTGTTTTCTAATATCCACTTCTCCAGGTTCTATCTTCCAGAGAGGATCCCAAGCTCAAGATGTAAGTAAGCAAATACTCCCTCCGAGGCTGTGTGTTTTCTTTCTGGCCTCCAAAAAGAGTGTTTCTTGGAGTTTAAATTTCTAACTTTGGCAATATACAGTTTATCTGCTTTCCTTTTTTTCTAGATTCTTCCTTTTATGGACTTATTATGCAGATTGCACCATCTGCAAATAGAGGATTGTTTTATTTTCCCTTCATATCTGTACATATTTTATTTAATGTCTTCACCTTATTTTCCTGGCTTGAACATCAGGTGTTCTGTTGAATAATACTACATTGATTATAATTATAACCACTATCACAAATTATGCTGTAAAGTTAAGCAGTGGTTCTCAATCTGTGTGTGATGACCCCTTCGGCAAACCCCTATCTCCAAAAATACTTGCATTATTATTTATAACAATAAGAAAATTATAGTTATGAAGTCACAACAAAATATTCTCATGGTTGGGAGTTACTACAACATGAAGAACTATATTAAAGAGCCACAGCATTAGGAAGATTGAGAATCACGGTGCTAGAGTCAACAGATAAGTCTCGCTCTGGGAAACCATTCTTATGATATGGCATCTCCCTTGTTGGATGAGTGTTAATTATAATTATTCTTAAATAGAACTTCCAGTGGTATACTGACAGTAATATTCTTGCCTTATTCCTGGTCTTGCGGGAAATTGAGTGTGATAAGTGTGTGTCTGTGTGTAAATATGTGTACATGTGAGTGGAACCCAAAAGAGTAGTGTCTTATCCTCCTAGAGCACAGGAGGTTGTGAGCTGCCTGATGTGGGTGCTGGGAACCAAACTTCGGTCTTCTCGAAGAGCAGTACAACCTCTTAACCACAGAACCATCTCTCCAGAACCAATTCAATGTGTTTTATATTCCCATCTTTAACCCACAGATGGTTTAGAAGTATGTTGTTAGCTTCCAAGTGTTTGGAGATTACCTCTTGCTATGGACTTCTATTTTAATTCCACCGAAGTAAGAGAACACTGTGTGCTATTTCAATTCCTTTGAAGTGTGTTGGGGTTTAATCTCATGGCCATGACACGGTCTCCCTTGGTTATGTTCTGTGGACATCAAGAATAGTGTGCAGTCTATGCTGTGGATGCAGTGTTCTTGTCAATGCTAGTTAGATCCTGTTAGTGGTGGTGGCACTGAGTTCTTCTGTAACCTTGATGACAATCTTCTGTTTGATTGGTCTATCATTTGTTGAGATGATGCCCTAAACTCCTGGGACCATATGGATATATCTCGTTCTTTCAGATAGATCATATCTTTTGTTTCACAAATTTTATACCTCTGTAATCCAGTGCATAAACACTGAAGGTTGCTATCATGGGGATAGCATCTTAGTTACTAACCCTCCCCGTCCGTGGTAATTCTCTTTGCTCTGTAGTTCACTTTATCTGATATTAACAGGTCTGTATTTTTCCATCTAATTACTTTCAGAATACACACACATATCCACACACAAATACACATACACACAAAATCAATTTATTTAATGTGAGTGTCTCATAGAAATATCCATTTTCTTATTCTTTTAAAAAAATCCTAACAGGAACTAAGCTCATGAATTTAAATAATTTATATTTAATATAGTTATTTAGACATTAAAGTGTAAGTCTGCCATGTAATTTTGTTTGTTTTGTTTACTTTCATTTTCATTGTTTTTTGTGAGCAGCTTGATATATTTTGAATTTCATTTTTAATAGATTACAGTGTTTTTTAATATAGCTCTAGTACAATTTTTTGTTTTGTTTTGTTTTTTTCGAGGCATTGTTTCTCTGTGTAGCCCTGACTGTACTGGAACTAGCTCTTGTAGACCAGGCTGGCCTCGAACTCACAGAGATCTGCCTGCCTCTGCCTCCTGAGTGCTGGGATTAAGGGCATGTGCCACCACCATGTATAGTTTTAATATTTATATTGAGACAGTGTCTCGCTATGTATCCCTGGCTGGCCTGGAACTCTCCATGTAGGTCACTTTGTAGATCTGCCTGCCTCTTCCTCCCGAGTGCTGGGATTAAAGGCGTGCAGCCCTGTGATAACCTGCTTTGTGTATCCGTGTTTTGTTCTCGCCACTTTCTTTTCCTGTTTATCCAGCAGTCCTCATTCCGTTATTTGCTGTTTTTAGCTGTCCCTCTAGGGACGCCTTGCAGACATTGGTTCTCTGTTGCTTCCCATCACTCCAGATGTATGTTTTTTCTCTTCATTGAAAGGCATTTTCCAGGCTGTGGGATTGTAGGTCGGGGCTTTTTCTCTTTAGCACTTGGTGCCACGTCCTCTCGGTTCCCATGGTGCCTGAAGACGTCGTTTGGATTGTTTCCCCTCCAGGCAACAGCTTTCCCTGGCTGCTTTCCGTATTTTTCAGTTTTCGGGGTTGTTTGAGTATGATGAGTGAGGAGCACAGGTCGCCGAGTTCTACCCTGTTGGGGACCCCTAGCTTCTTCACTCTGCTTGCTGGCGGCTTCTTTGCGGGAGTTTTCCGTTTCCTTAACTCCTTAACTCCTTCAGAGTTTCCTTCCACTCCTTTCTTCTGGACTTTGATGATGTGAGCTCAGCTAAGATTCTCACATGCCTCTGAGGGTCTGTTTATTCTCTCTCTCTCTCTCTCTCTCTCTCTCTCTCTCTCTCTCTCTCTCTCCCTCCCTCCCTCCCTCCCTCCCTCCCTCCCTCCCTCCCTCCCTCCCTCCCTCCCTCCCTCGCCTCACATTAGGGTACAGATTCCCTCCTTTGTCTTCTCTATTCTAGAGTTGAGTCTGGCTACAAAACAAAACTTCAGCTCTTGTATTTGACAGGCTCTAAAATTTCCATCCTGTTTCCTTTTGTTTCTCCAGGAGCAGTTTTGCCTGGGAGACGCCTGGTGTTTACTTCTTGCTTCAAGTGTTTGCTCACTGGAGTGTTCTGTCTGTTTTAGATTCTTGTCAGAGCCCTCAGAATCTGACTCATCCAGCTGTTGGCATGCCGTTGCCTTTTTTCATAGGTTTGCTGTTTTTCTGCTTCCCCAGGAGAGTTTGTTTACTGGGATCTGGTGATGAGTGAGAACGTATTTTAGGATTGGGGTTTATTTCAGTGTTGACCTTGGACTCTCGTTAGCTCTGGTAGGTGAATGGTGGTACAGATTCATCAGTTCCTGGTGGGGTGGAAAACCAGAAACTACTCAGAACTACACGGCACCAGTGGGACCGATTCCTGGTGCCTGTTGGGCATGGAGGTCTCCTTGCTCCCTAGGTCCCCAGTGGCAGCCGTTGGGGAGGGGTTGCACATTTCTTACATGATCATCTAGTGTCAATTAGCATCCCAGCTCCTCAAAGCCTTCTTGGATGACTGGGGCAACTTTTTACCGCCTGGCAGTTTAGAGCCTTTCTACTGGCCTTGACTGGAGAGTGACAGGCACTGTGGGCACTTCTGTGACTTGGCTGGGGGCTGCCTATAGACTTTCTGTCTTTCCATGCTGGCCTGGCCTGGTCCACGGGCTGCTGCAACAGCCTTGGAGCCTCTTTATGTCAGTTTGTTTCTGGGTTGTCAGCTTCTTCATGTTTAAAGTCTGGGATGTTAAAAAAAAAAGGTGAAAAAGACCCCAGAAATGCACCACCATGTTTTCCTTGGGCTCTGAACTCACCAGCAGGTCTGAACTCACTCCAGCGTCAAAATGTTCCTTGCTGTGTGTGGTGTTCTGAGTCCTGAGATGCACACAGTGAAGGGAGTGTTGAAGAGCATGCCTGTCTGATCTTCCCCTTGTTTTCTAAAAGCGCTTTATTTTTATATGGAGTATATGTATATGCCTGTGTTCGTGTCTTACTGCATTCACCTGCCCCCTTCCTTTTTGAGACAGGGTTTCTCTCTGTAACAGCCCTGGCTGTCCTGGAACTCAGTCTGTAGACCAGGCTGGCTTGGAACTCAGAGAGACCCACCGGACTTTGCTTCCTGAGTGCTGGGATTAAAGGCGTGTGCCACCACTACCCGGTTCATTCTCCATTCTTAATAGAAGCAGGAGTTGCTTGCTTATTTTCTGAAATATACTGGAGAGCTTTCAAATCACTTTGAGACATTTTCTGACACTTTGGGAATTCTTCATAGCATCCTGTAGACTGAACAGTTAGGTCATCTCCCACAGACAGGTGAGCCCTTTGTCACGTACACCATGGATTCAAATGTCCTCTCAACTGTGCTCATTGTCCCCAATCTCTTACTTAGAAGCCAGCCTGGGATACATGAGACTCTGTTCCAAAAACTAGTGTGTGCTGGGGATGGTTATGGAGGGGTGACTCGGTGGGCAAGTGCTTGCTGCGCAAACATGAGGACCTGGGTTTGGATGCCCAGCACCTGGGTAAAGCCCAGATTCATTGGTGCGTGTCTGTAACCTCAGTTCTAGAGGTGCAGAGTCAGGAAGAATCTGGAGGTTTTCTGAACAGCCTAGTCTGGCTGAGATGACAAGCTGTATGTTTAGTGAGAGACCCTGATCAACAAATATGATGGAGGGCAGGTGAGCACTTGCTGCCATTGCAGAGGACCCAGGCTCAGCTGGCTCTCAACGCCCACATCAAGGTTCACATCTGTCCATAATTATAGTTCCAGGGGATCCGACACCCTCCTCCGGCTTCCCTGGGAACTGCATGCACATGGTGTTTCTTAACATACATTGCAGGCAAAATACATAAAGTGAAAGTAAATAAATTTTAAAAAGTAAGATAGGGAGCGATACAGAAGACCCCATGTGTCAGTCTCCCATGTGAACACACAGGCACGTGCATGCCCCCATCACGCACACTCTCATACATAAGCAGGATAGCAACTCTGGGGCAGGCATGCATCCTACCTTCTCCTGTGGGGATTCACTCCCATCACAAGCCTCTCTGAGCAGGTCCCGGGCCCTGGAGAGGTTTCTCTGCTTGTATGCAGTGTGGATGTCTTCCATGCTGGGGGAACGCCCTGAGGAGTGGCCACCTGATGCAGCAGACAGTTTGCTGCCCATGTCTTTGGCACCTGAATGGAAAGACACATACACACAGTGTCACTAACCTCTGGGTTGGCATTTGGAGGTGACAGTGGAGGAATGCACGCCCCATGACATGACTGGTGGGGGGGGCGGTTGTAGGAAGATAATGGAAATGATCCTGCCAGCAAGTTCCTATTTCTCTGGGGGACATTCAGCCATTTTGGAAGACATTAACTGGGGCAGTGAAGAGTTGGCTGTGAGGGACTGCCAACTGGAACAGCTCCAGTGCCCTGGGCAACAGGAGGCAGGCAGTACTCTGGTGAGAGAGCTGATGGTCCCAGCCAAAAGGTCCTACTGCCATGTGGGGAAAGAGCAGCTAAGACCCGGGGCGTGGGCATCTACATGGCTCCCAATCCCTTCTCTACTAAGAAAGCTCTCAAAAGGTCATGTGATTTAGGATCGATAATCCTCGCCTCTGCGCTAACATGCCACCCCAGTATCTCCGTCAGTCCTTTGAAACTCTGGGCCTCGAGACATTCTTGGACCATGTGTGTGACTGACCCACCCTGCTATTCTGGGTATCTAGACTGTGACTTCCTGTAGCAACATCCCTCTTCTCTCTAAGTGGGTGCTAACCTGTTCTGGGCAGAGGGGGCATGTGGGATGCTCTGGCCGGCTGGGTATCTGGTGCTGCTCGGGAGGAGAGGTGAGACTTGGAGAGGGCTGTGGCATTGTTGAGGACCCAGCGCATGAGTACTATGGAGAACCTAAACACAGTCGAGCAGCTAAACGCTGCAGAGCAACCAAACACAGCCCAGCACTGCGCTGGGTGGAAAGATACAGGTGAAGGTGATCACTACCCTCCATCAGTACCTGATGGGCGAAGTCCTTTTGTTGTCCTATTGGTTGATAAGTGAAGCACCGTTGGTCAATAGGGAAGCAAGATAGGTGGGACTAAGAGGATTCTGGGAAATGTAGTCAAGAATAGGAGTTACCATGTGATCCCAGGAAGAGAGGACGTATGAGGCTGTGCCCTTGGTAAGATAAAACCTTATAGAAATGTATATGTTAGTAGTCATGGGTTACTACTTAAGACAGAACTAGCAAATGATAACCCCTGGACATTGGCCAACAGCATTGTAACAATACAGTTATTTTGGGGTTGATGCAGCTCTGGGATCAGGCTGGTGGGAAGAATGCACGTTACAAGTGTCCTGCTCCAGAACAAGGGTTCATACAGAGGTCTGCACGCTCCTGAAGGCTGACCTACAGGCTTTGGAAGGTCCCTGAACATTTTAAACTTCTGCACAAAACTGTTTCTCTGTGTGTGTACATTTCCCTGGAAAGAAAATTCGAGGCTTCCGGGACATTTCCAAAGGGGTTAGGAAGCAAGAGCGAAAGCTTTCTCTCTACAAATGCTAGAGAAAGGGCTGTCACCCATGAGAAGCTAAGTTCTGAACTGTGTTGAGTGACAGAAGGAATAAGGTGAGAATTCCATGATTCGTGGCTAAGTTTGCACAGTAGGAGAGACCTTGTGATGACGGGCAGGGCTGGAACTTGGGGCTCTGGGGCTCTGGGCCCCTCCTCATTCTCGCTCTGTTCCTTCTCAATCCACCAGTTGAACATTTTGGTTCAGTCCATATCCAAGACCGAAAGCAGTGGGGACCATCTGTCATGAACCCAAACTACAAGCTGAAATAGCCCCTTCTCTTTCTTATCTCAGCCCTTGTTCCAGTAACGGAAAACTGACTACCCAACAAAGCACAAAGATGACGTGCTTACAAATATATTAAAAGATGAGTCAAATCTAAACTCTGGAAAATTAAGATTGTGTAGCCAGGAAGACCTCCCATGCTCATGGGTTAGAGAACAAATACTAGGAAGGTGACAGTTCCCCTTAAATTGAGGCACAGTTTCAATTTCAGTTAACTATAATCCCAGTTGGACCTTTTCCCCCTTGTAAAATTATATCAGATTCTCAAGTTTGCATGGAAACTTGAGAATAGTCAAAGCGATCCTGAAAGAGAGAGTGGGAAGATTACATGATTTCAAGACTTACAATTAGGCTCCCATACGCAGGTGATATGATAATAGCATACACAGCCCCTAGGGCAGAACTGAGTCAAGAAATAGGCTCATGGGGCTGCGGAGCTGGCTCAGATTTCCACACAAGTGTGAGAACCCGAGTTCAGACCCCCAGCACCCAAGTGGGTACAGCCTGCTCCATGTGTGCTGGAGCAATGTGGAGACAGCCCACTGCAGCTGCCTTGGCGGGATCCATGAGCTAGAGCCCAGTGAGAGAGACCTGTCTCAGAAAATAATGTAGAGGGCTAGCGAGATGGCCCAGTGGTTAGAGTGCTTGCTGGGCAAGGACAAGGATGAGTTTGGATCTGCAGACTCCACATAAATGTTAGGTGGGAGTGGCATCCATCTTGTAAGTTCAGGTTTGGAAGGCACAGATGGGATCCCAGAGCAAGCTGGCTAGTGAAACCAGCCATACCAGTCAGCTCTGGGTTTGACCGGAGACCCGGCACAATGAATAATGCGGGAAGGCAATCAAGGGGGATTCCCAACATCAACCTCAGTCTTCACTTGCGTGTACACACATGCGCATCGCACACACAGAAGTGGAAAAGGGGAAAAGAAAACTGTGGAGAGTGAGCACGGAAGTCATGTGATGTCAAGCTCAGGCTAACACACACACACACACACCACATACAGTACATACCACACACAACACACACAAACACACAAACACACCACAGAACACAACACACATTCCACACCACACACACACATCCATATACAAACTCCACACATGTATACATACAACACCACACACACAGAAACACACCAATGCATACACCACACACACCACACACACACACACACACACACACACACACACACACACATATAACAAACACACCAAGACTCACAATTTGGCCATCTAATTAACTTTTGACAAGGGTGCCAAAACAACACAATGGGAAAGAGGGTTTTCAACGGAGGGTGCCTGCTCATTGGGTACCAGCACCTCATCACGTGGGCGGGAGAGATGGCTTAGCAGTTAAGAGCATTCACTGGCTTCAGTTCCCAGCACCCTCATGGCCGTGTACACCTGTCTATAACTACAGTTCCAGGAGATCTGACCTCTTCAGGACTCTGCAGGCACTACTCACCCATGTTGCATACATACATGCAGGCAAAACCACTTACATGCATAAAATAAAAATAAATTTAAAAGATACTTGTCTTTTATAGTGCACAAAAGTTAACTTGAGGTGGATCATGAACCTAAAATATAAAGGCTAAAACTATAAATATCCTAGGAATATATGTAGACTACCTTCAAGACTTCAGAGGAAGCAAGGTGCTAGGGTTTGATGTGGTTTGAATGTTTCTCAGGTCCGATGGGAATTTAAGGAATGGTAACAGGACACCGCTCCTGCAAGATGGGGAAGCTGTAGAGGGTGAGCCTCTGCGGGTCTAGGTCATGAAGGTTGGGGCAGTTCTTCTTGTCTGAGCTGTGATCACTCCTGCACACGTGTCCCCACTTCTGCTAAGCCAGCGTGGGCTCACGCAGGTCCCCGAATCTCCAGAATTGCGACCAAATAAACCTCCTTCTTTGTGGAGCGCCTGTGTCACATACTTTGTGACAGTGCTGACGAGATGAGTCCCCAAAAACAGTATTTATGAAGCAAAACTGCTAAATCACATTTGACCAAAGGTCTTAGAAGTCATGAAAAAGTGTTAAATTAGACTTTGTTCAAAGTTTAAGTTTATGGTCATCAAAGGCATCTTTTAAAGAAGCAAGCAAATTCTAGTCTGAAAGGCAATATTGTAAGACACACCTGAAGATAAATGGTATATAGATTACCACAAAGAATATAAAAAACATAACATAATAACAAAAAGTTAAACAACGCAACTACAAAAAGTCAAAGATTTGAACACTGGAAGACAGTCAAAAAACTCAGTACCATTGCTCATCGGGGAAACGCACAAGTCACGGGAACACCTGCTACACTCCCAACAGAGTGTTATACTTTAAAAAGATGTGCGCAGCCAGAATGCTCAGGCTTGATGGGTTGGAATGTAAAATGTGTAATTTACATTACAGACAGTTCTGCTGGCATCTTTGAAAATCTGAACACATACAGACCTATGATCTACCAGTTCCATTCTTAGATTTCTACCCAGAGGGACTATGCCCCCAAAAGTTATCCAAGAATGTTCACAAAAGTGGTAGCTACAATACCGCCAAGCTTCAAGTAGCCCACTTTGTTTATTTGTTGAATAAACAAACTGTGAAGCTATAACTACTCAATAAAAAAAGGAATGAACTATCGATCATTCTGATGACTGATATGAATCTCACAAACAAAATGCTGAGAAAATAAAATCTTTCAAAGTAATGCTATTTCTATGATGTACTAATCTCAGCTGGGGGAGGGCAGGAGGACATCGCTTGTGCTAATGGCTCTAGATCTTGATGGAGTTTGCATTACATAGGTGCTGCACTCGCTAAAATGTACCAAAAGTCCATTTAAAACATGTGCATTACACTTTGTGGACATTTTATCTAAAAAGCTATTATAAACATCATATACACGTTAGTAGTTAAGGGCGAAATGTATAGATGTTGGTAACTTACTTTAAAATCATTAGAAATGGGATGGGCCCATGTCAGACACTAGGTAGTAGGTGTGTAGTTAGGTATACATTGGTTCAGTTTCCTCAGTATTACTGTATGTTGGGAATTTTTCACAACATGTTGGGAAGAAGGAGGCTCATAGTGTCAAACGGTACATGCAAGGCCTACCATCTGACATACAGTATGAGCCCCCTACCAACACAGAAACAAAAGAAACCAAACTTGCTCCGTAGAAGCCAATGCAAGCTGCTTACAAAGTGACAGCCCTTATTCACATCCAGGGTCATAACAACACACCCTAGCTGGAATCTGATCATTCCAAAGGCAATTGTTCTGAAAACCCATGAAAAGTCTATCATCGTACGTGACTGACAGCATCCCTAACATACC